AAAGCAAGAGTTACATGTTGGGCATTGAGAACAGCCTATAGCGGTACACCTCATTCTGGAGTTCTGGCTCTGGTATGTGCAGGGTGGGGGAAAGGAGATCGCTTGCTAAAGACATACACTCCAGCGTGGTAGTCCTTAGAAAGCCCATACCTGAAGAAAACCACCATATTTTCTTGCATACAACATGCCCCGCAGTAAGACATACACACCTTGCATCCGAAAGGCAGAATAAAGAAAAAAAAGTGATCTTTCCTTGTAGTAAGTAACTGAGCAGGAGCAGCTGGGGAGCTCACGTTTCCTCATATACATAAGGAATACATATTTCCCCATGTATAATGTGCTCTCTCATTTCCAGCAGCTGGTTTTTGGGGGAAAGTATGCAAAAATATGCAAGAACATACAGTAATTTCTTCAAACAAGCATGCTTCTGGCCTTTAAGGAAAACCAGGTCAGACATACCTATCTGGAAGCTGCAACGTTTTTCCAAGTTAAAACAAAAAACCAGCACCAAGTCATGTTTGTGAGTATAAACTGAACAGCTGCTTGAAAGCCACTCTTGTACCATGAGTACCGAGGCATTATTCTGCCACAAACACATGCAAGAACACCTTTCTCCTGGCTTTTTCCTTCTTTATTCATTGCACTCGCTCTCGTTTTATGTACAGTTCAGCTCCCACCTCCTCTCTCCTCTGGACAGCGGAGATGCCAAGCAATAGTTCCAGTTTCTTAAAGACAATTGCAAATACAGCCAGAAAGTTCCCTCCTCAGGATGCCTGCACACAGCCATGGCCAGTAAGCATCGTTTTGCATAGCCGAGGGCCACTTAAGTATCTAGAGCCAATATTGCTGTTAAGTCACAAAACACACTCCAGTCACTAACAGTGAAAGCTGCAGGGGCCGACAACTAGAAAGGGGGTAGAAATACTAGAAGTCGAGTCTAGAGATGCGTTCCTCTCCAATATGGATGCACCAGAAGAGATTCCCGAGTTTTAGACCTAGAGAAGCTATATATCTGCACCCAGAGAGTGGTGGTGGATGGGTCATTTTTGACCTGGAGGGATGTGGGCAGCGGGGTCCCCCAGGGCTCGGTCCTCAGGCCCGCACCGTTCAACATCTTCATCAGTGACTTGGACGAGGGGGTGAAAAGCACCTTGTTCAAATTCGCGGACGACACTAAGATGTGGGGAGAGGTGGGCATGCTAGAAGAGAGGGACAGGCTACAACTAGATCTGGACAGGTTACAGGGATGGGCAGATGAGAATGGGATAGGTTTCAATACGGATAAGTGCAGGGTGCTGCACCTGGGGAGGAAGAACCAGCAGCATACCTACGGGTTGGGGAACTCCCTTCTCATCAGTGCAGAGGCAGAAAAGGATCTGCGAGTCATTATTGATTCCAAGATGAACATGGGTCGTCAATGTGAGGACGCGATCAGGAAGGCTAACCGCACCTTGTTGTGCATCCACAGATGCATCACGAGCAGGTCCAAGGAGGTGATCCTCCTCCTCTACACGACACTGGTCAGGCTGCAGCTGGAGTACTGCGTCCAGTTCTGGGCGCCGCAATTCAGGAGGGATGTGGCCAGCCTGGAGAGGGTCCAGAGGAGGGCCACTCACATGATCAGGGGGCAGCAGGGCAGGCCCTGTGAGGAGAGGCTAAGGGACCTGAACCTGTTCAGCCTCCACAAGAGAAGGCTGAGAGGGGACTTGGTGGCCATCTATAAACTTATCAGGGGGACCAGTGGGGAACGGGAGAGACCCTGTTCGCCCAAGCACTACCCGGAGTAACTAGGAATAATGGCCCCAAGTTGACTGAGAGAAGATTCAGGCTACACTACTTCACAGTCAGGGCGGCTAGGACCTGGAACCAACTTCCAAGGGAAGTGGTGCTCGCTCCTACCCTGGGGGTCTTCAAAAGGAGGCTAGATAATCACCTTGCCGGGGTCGTTTGACCCCAGCATCCTTGCCTGCCTATGGCAGGGGGTCGGACTTGATGATCTGCTTGGGTCCCTTCCGACCCTACTAACTATGAAACTATATTTAGTGGTGAAGCTGGATCTAGCTCTGCCAGGCATTTCAGATCCTGCATTTCCCTTTATTCTCCAGCTGGAAAGTTTCTTCTCATTAAATATGTTTGCACTTGACATTACATGCTGCTGTCTAGAGCAGCTATCTGCTACCCCTCCAGCCACCCTAGAGAGGTGCAAGTATTTGGAAGTACCCCACTTCCTAGCAAGCATTTTTAAAGCAGCCCACAAGTTCATGGCTGGGATTTCCCATGGGTGGTTGGCAAAATTGAGTAAAATGGTTTTTCCTTCTGCTGTTATCTGACGGGAGCAAGACAAGGCTCTGATGCGGCCAATTCTGAACAGTATCTCGCATGAGACATGCCTCTCCCCTTTCCTTAAACTCAAATCTCTTTGTGGGGTCAAGGGGAGGGAAGAGGGCAGAGCCACATCCACCACTGCCATTAAGTTTTCTTCCTTGTCCAATTGCAAGCATTATCTCCGTTAACTTTCATCACGAAGGCAGTTCCAAGTCTCGCCCACATCACAGGCTTAGGGACAGACCTCACTTGACCTCTCCCTCCTATTTTCCTGACCTCCTTGCTTCTAGCCACCCCCAACCTCTTGCCCCCTCCTTTTCTGGATCAAGAGACTTCTTCCTCTGGCTAGGCACTGAAAGGGCCCAGGAGAAAGCCCCTGATCTCTCGTCTGGTGCCCAGTAACAGAGCTGGAGGAACGACTGGAGACAAGTCCTACTTTCATCGATAGTGATGTTGGAGCAGCACACGAGCAGGTCACTCAACGTGCAGGCACTGCAAGGGGAATAGTACATGCTCAGTACACAGGAGTTAGCTACTAAGCTACCAAACCTTCAAGCATGCACTACAGGGAGATTTTCAGAGACTTAATTTGGCATAATTAAGGACCACTTGGGTGCGGGGGTGCAGTACAGACAGAAAGGAGAACCAGGCTGTCCAGGGTTATTCTGGATACTAGGACCCTGACAAATTTCAAGCCCTTACTGCAATAATATCACACACACACACACATGCTGAAAGAATCACATATGCACACAGACCCTTACCTCTCAAGAAGGAGAAATGTATTTCTCCATCATTCCTGGAAACAGCTTCAGTTAATATACTAGCTCTCTCAAAGTAATCAATCCAGCCTCAGGCAGACCCCATGGCATGCAAGGTTTCAGCCCACATGGTGTAAATTTGGTTCCATTAGACGACCCAGTATTCAACTGCTTATAATGGAAAGGACTGAGAGGCCTTAGACACGCAACCAGGCCTGTCTCCATAAATCAGAGAAGAGAAGATACCAGAGCTCCGAGGACAGATTTTATTTGAGGTCCAATTATGTTCTGTCCTAGATTTCAATGGATGCCCGTAAAGAAATCACTACAGCTGATCAGCCTCTTTCTAGACTGAAGTTTGCTGGGAAGTTATTCTTGGCTCTCTAGCGTTGATAAACTACTTGTATTTTCCCCAAGGTGAATTATCTTTAAAAGAGTGATAAATGTTTGCAAGATAGGCTGGAATGGGATTGTGAAAGGTGTCTGACGTCTCGAGTAATTTATCCGGCAGTTACTATAGTAACCAACCACAATTTTTACTCAAATCACAATGCATAGCTCAGAGGCCAGCTACAGTCATATTCTATAAATTTGGTCCCTTAAGATGTGTTCTGCAATATGGATCGTCACGGCTTTTGACACGTAAAAGGTGGTAGAGCTGTGAGTTAGCTACAGAAGTCGGCGTTAGGCGCATTTTACAGTTTCTAAGCCAGCCTAAGTGATTAGCCCAAGGTCAGCATCTGGCAGCACCGGGATGATAATGCAGATGGATTGTATCTATAGCCTCTGCTTACCACACTACATGCTCTCTCTGCTGGTTTGCAGTCAGCGCATTTATAGAGGCTGTTTCAGGTACTCGGCAACATCATTCCCGAATGCTCCTGCTCTTGCAAACCCTTCCATGCACAAAGCTATTTTCCTCATGCTGACTTTTCCCCTAGCCTTACAAAGTGAAAGTCTTGTTGCAACATTTTAGGTCTGCATCTGGTACCTCCACCTACCATAAACAGCAGCAGCTAGGGCCCAGCTTGTTCCCTCTTCCCATCCTACCAAGAGCTCACTCTCCATTGTTCAGTGATGACTGCTAACTGCTGTGGCACCTATTCTAAAATAGCTCTTGCTTCCGGTAGGGCAATCTACAATAGAGAAGGGTAAAGCTTAAAAAGACAGAGGTTTCTTCATTTAAGTCCTCACTGCTGTGGCTAAGGCATTAAACTGATTTCATACTGTTCGGTGCTCAGCTGGCCAGGCAAACTAGGCAATTGTGTGTTGTTTTAACCTTTGCCATGCAGGAAACTGATATCTCTCTCCCCTTCCGGTTTAACCCTGTAGCTTCTGACAACTGCTGACAACACAGAAGAGTGAGGCATACATGCACTAGGCTATGTCAGTAATTTTAAGCTGATGTTTCAAAAATTAAGTAGTAGGATCAAGCCATGGAGAATTAAAAGGAGTACCAATGTAAGCCCCCCCCGTCCCGCCTCCCCTTTCCCCCACCCACCAGGCCACACTTCCTCTTTTCGCTTTGCAGATGTTATACTTAAAAGCAGCTTCAGTTGAATTCTTGCATGACATTAAAGACAGCAATGTATCGCAGGACTTCCAAAACCCCCGCTGAACTCATGGCAGGCAGCAGGAAGCGCATCTGCTATTCAATTCTCTGTAAAGAGCTGCTGACGTCAGCCTCGAACACAAGAGGCAACTCAGCAGGCCTTTGCTGTGCCTCATCATACAGGCACGTAGCATCCAAGAGGCTGTTCACGGGAACCAGAGCCGAATTCATTCTTCATCCCATGAAGCCGTTACTGGGAGCTAGTTAATAGGAGGACTCTACACACTGCTACTGTGTGAGAAAGGGAGTTTAGCTGTTATTCCAGCATGGAAAAAAACAAAAAAGAAATCAAGAAAGCCTACCTGCTGGTTAAGTCAGAGGTACTAACAAGACCAAGGATGCTGGTGTCAATAAGGCAGGCAAGCTGGTAGTCAGACAAGCTTAGGCGGAGTCAGAGTGGCAAGGAACAGAGTAAGAGGAAACCGGCTCTCATCTTCACCTAAAGGAAAAAGGTGACTGCTGGCTTCCCTCCTTTGTGTCACTAAAAACTATCCCCTTGCCCTTCTGGTTCCACCCAGACTGTTTTACCATCTTGCTTTTTCACCTTCCTACTAGGGCACTTCTCAACCACCCCTGGTCTAGTTTTCACCAGGGTCTTCCCATCTCCTTCTACAGTGAAGCATACAGTTTCTATAACTAATTGTAGAGTTGTGTGCAGTTATTTTGTCCTGCATCAAAACCTATTCTAGGGGAATCTTCCTAGGGAAGTGACCTGCAACTTGTTTGCTATGTTCCAGCTTTGGCAGCGCGGTATATATGCAATGGCTCACTGTTTTCTCCTTCCGGTCCTCATGTACTGGCACATTTGGATTGCAAATGCTGCAGGGTATGCTTAAAAACCACACTTTTTTTCCTGAAACACACTGCTACAGTAAAACTATTAGCAAGTTTGGGGAGGGGAGCAGGGAGGGGAATAGTAGCGAGCTCGATACAGACATGTGCCCAAATAGCACGGCCACCAATGCAAGGAGATAAATCTGACGCACAGGATTCCAAAAATTAAATTCAGGTTCAAGTGACAGAAGGACAAACACAGCATCTTTCAGAATAGGCACTGCAAGGGAAGTGCAGCTTCTAGCTGCTAGTAAGAGGGCTCCTTATTTGTGTAGTGCATTGACTCAGTTACTTACAGATGCTTAAAACATGTGCTAACCCTCCCAAGAGAGAAGTGAGAACGACTGTACCAAGAGCAAGCAAATACCCAGAATGGAGAACTGAGACCTGCTCTGGAAACAATCTATGTTATGTTAGAAAGGAACAATAATGCAAAGGTAAGGTTTCGCATCTCGCTGGCAATGAGTTATACAGGAGGGGCAGGATTTCAAATGGAACGGAGGGTAGAGTCCTCACAAGACAAAGGAGAGGGGTACTCAGACAAACCAGGAGGAGGAGGACGATGATGACAGGGGCAACCTTAAGCTGATGAGTGGACACAGCAGAGCTGGAGAAGGGTCATCGCTGGGGAACTCCCCCTGAGAAGGAACCTGCCATTCTGCCATCAGCGATACTGGATCCAAGGAGCCTGTGGGAAAGATGGGACTGGAAGAATAGAGGGGAGGAATTTGGGAGAGGGAAGAGAGTCAAATACAACATCTACACGTCGTCAAAAGTTCAGAGCCAGAAACACACCAAAGCCCCCACGTTAATCCAATGGTAGTTTAGTACAAGGCATTTACCAAAGTGCCACTGTTGGCAAGCAGCTCACAGAGGGAGTAGTTCAAAAAGCAGTTCAGCTCGGTATTGTTATCCAAACTTCAAGACATCCCTCCTGATATCACATCACAATTTTATCATGACCCTGACAGTTTACCTGTAGTCCAAGTTTGTGTAGCTTTTGTATCGGTTATCTCTGCTGCAGAGTGTCAAGTCCGCTCGTGATAACCATACTATACAACTCTGTTAAAGCAAAACCATGTCCCTAGAAGGCCCTCAGCTTGAATAGAAGTAGTCTCTTTCTATGGAAGCATCCCGGCAGCCTAGTAAGGAGACAGGCAGCTTTCGAGTAAGACTCCTTCCTTGACACAACAGCAGATCATAGCTCATTTGGGACAATATAAGCACTACCACGTTGCTTTGAGCATAGCCAGATTATGGATACGTTGCCTTCCAGCCCCCAACAACCATGAATCCTCAGAAACAGGGTGTTTTTAAATGGCTGACTTATACCTGCAAAGCACTTACTGTACGAGATGCCATTCTGGCCAGAGGAGAACAGCTCCATAACCCCCAAATTGGTGGGCTGCGAAAAGCAAAGTAGAGCCAACGCTTAATGATTTGCATTATACTTGCAGTACGCCACCGTACTACTGTGGTCTCATATCACTGTTGTAAGCATGAGATCAGAGCCTACATGTTACCTGAAGCCAATAATACGCACGGCACTTTTGATCCCCAAGGGCCGCTGGCAGAAGGGGGGCGTACTTTATTATAACTCCAAGGCATTTTATTCTTTTCCCACCTGCCTCGACTGAAGTAACTGTGAGTAAACAGAGCAATCTTCTTCTGGACAGCAAGTCATACTTAGTTGTGCATCTTCTTCCTTCCTGCATCAGAGCTCTTGCTCAACTTCCTGCAAAATAAATAACTTAGAACTACTACGGATCATGCTTATTAGCTCAAGATGGTTTTTGCTGCTAGAACTGCTCCCCCAGTTTCATCAGACTGTCCCTCTAGTATCAGGGACTTGAACACTGGGAATCACGCAGACCTCCTTGCTTAGTCTTAAGGAAACTAAACAGCAGCCTTTGAAAAGCACATCTGCTATCAGACTTAGATTAAGCTAGGAAAGCCCTGTGCTCTCATCCCCTGCAGACTTCAGCTATTGCAAGAAGGCACAAGGGAGGTGCTTATAATTGCTCCAGCAGCTCTTTGGCAGAGGGCTCTAGAGAACAGCTATTCCCAGAGAGCTTAACTTATCTGAATGAGACAGCGTGGGGTGAAGGAAGGGGACCTAAACTATGCTGAATGGTTCTCACCAACTTAAATTGGCAAGTCATTTATTCCACACTCAGTGGCTGGAGACTAGTGCAGCTGGCAGGCTGGACTCTTTGCAAGGATACGATGGTGAACAAGGCCTTCGAGTCACTGCCGTCATACCACACAGACCTGCCCTAAGAAGGGTTAGGCAACGAGGAAGAAGTTGTAGCTACAATAGCATTCCTATTACTGTGGTCAGAAGCAGCCAGACAGCTGACATTCCTCCCGCACACGCAGAAGAGGCCATTATACACATCTCTTGGGTAGTTTCCTTTTAGTGAATACAGTGAAGGAAGATGTGGCTGGACACCAGCTGACCCTAACAGGTACGGTGACGTCACTCAGCTCTTCCCCGCAAGCTCAACTGTTGAGCTGTCAAACCCTCTACATAGTAACGGAGTGAGGTCATCAGGAACAGCACGCAGAAATGGAAGTGTGGGTGGCATCCGAGCAGTCCCCAGCCGTGTGTCACACTAGCTTTCAAAAGACACTACAACCTAGAGCAGCATGAGATTGCAAGAAGCTAGTAAAGGGAGATAAAAAGCAAAGAGCTAAGAAGTCAACCTGTGCAGTGTTGGAGAGATCTGCTATGGTTATCTGGCTAGAAATGGGTCCTGCTCTCCTTCACCTCCATGCCTTGACCATCTTCCATCCTGGCTTCCAGCTCCACATGTAATGCAGTTTTACACAGAAACCCTTAAAAGTAAGCCAGCTGATGAGGAAATAAAAGAGCATAAAATGCTCCTGAGGGCCATTTTCAACGTACAGGCAGTGACTACCTAGTCTAATGAGGATGCTGAATGATTGCTCTTTTGCAAAAAAGTGTGTCATTTCCAGCTGGAATTGCTCGAGTTACAGAACAGTGCCTCAGACACAGAAATATGGCTGCCAGGAACTAGACCATCTCTTGCTGCCCCAGAGCCTCATGTTCTGAGCAAAAGCTTTCTAAGCGCATCAAAATGCCAGGGTGCAAGATGCTCCATGTACCAGCACACCTTATTCATGTAACAGAAGTAGGCTTGCATGTCATTAGCAGCAGGAAATCACTGGTTGTACATCAGACCAGTTAACTCTTTAACACCAAGATTGTTTCAAGGAGAAAACTCCTTAAAAAGGGACTGAAGTGGCAGATGGTTTTTCATTTGCTGAAGTCTCCTTGGGGAGATTTAGGGGCACGTATCCATAAAGAAGTTCTTTACGCTGCACAAGTGTTAGAGGCCTATTTTCAATGCCAACACAGTGGAAGTTTGCAACTGCCTTCAGAGGAACTAGATCTTCGGCTAGTTTCTGCAAGAAGAGCCCAGGTCTTAATGGCTGCAACTGGAAAGACAGAGCATTCCATGCCTCAAAGCCACAATAACTGCACTTAAAAAGATGTTAATGGAAACGTAACCTACCTGATCTCGTAAGCAAATTAGTACTGACTACTTGTGGTCAGCAATGTACGCAGAGAGACCCAACAGTCACAAAGCGCGTTTGTGAGGAACTGCAGGAACTCCATCCGTAGCTTCCCCAGAGCCGAAGCGCTCTCTCGTTAGATTTGAGAGCAAATCTCCTGCAGAAATAACCTACCATTCAGTCCCACAGAACAGTGGCCCACTCTTCATGACTAATTTCTTTAGTTTTAGAACCAGGGTATTCTTAGGTCACATGACTGATTATTCAGTGTTACAAGCCATTTGCCATTTTTGGTAATAATCCTCAGCTGTGGAATTGCCATTTCCTGCATATTAATACATACTGGAATTGCCGCATTCCAGATATTTATAAAGCAGGATAAGGAGTCACACTGAATCCACGCTTCGCCGGATGACTCCTCCGATGGGATTCCTCGTGTATAGCGATGTGGACAAATTAACAGCTTATATTGCTCAAAACGGGTTTTTACAAGAGAGGAGTATAGCCATAGCGTGCGGTCGTTACTTGAGAGCCAACACGTACATCCAAGAATTAGCGCTCAAGTCGCCACGTTCAGTGAAAGACCCAACCGCCACGATGCTAAAAAACACGTGCGGGTCACAGAGACACACGGCACGGTTTGGCATCCTTTGACGCAACGTTTTCAGCATGACTACACAGGGAGCATTTAAGAAGTTCAAGACCCGACTTCGGCCCAAAAGTGAACGCATTTAAGAAGCTAAAGATCCAACTTCAGCCCAAAATCCTACCCCGCCACTCGTTCCATCCAGGTCTCCAAGCGCTCTTCAGAGACACCTCGCACAACGCAATGAGTACAACAAACCTCCCAATAAATTAATTACAAAGAATCACGGAACGCTATATGCCAGCGGTTGCCAAACGGCACTCCTTGGACCACATCTGTATTGCGTAATCCCACTTTTCAGTTAAAAAACCCCCCGTGGATAAGGAAGTAGGGTGGGTTCACAAGAGCTAGCAGAAATCCTCTGACATTGAACACAATAATCTGCAGCGATTTCAATGTCAAAACCAGCAGAGAGGATCCTATTGGGGGGGGGCGGAAAAAGTCTTGTCCTTTGACAGCTCTAAGCCTCCTTTCAAGACCTTTGCTACGATCAGGCTCCTAAAACATAACCCAATGCCCACGCTACACCTCCGGTGAAAGGTTTTACTCCGCTAAGCGTAGGCCCTTCGCCGAGTCGCACAGCACCGGCTTCTGAAGCCCTTGCCCCCCCACTTTTTTTTTTTTTTTTTAGGATGGTTTGATGCTAAAAAGAGGATTTTCAGCAAAGTCCCACGCCGGGCTGATGTGCAAAGCCCTCTTCCTTCAGGCTTCATCAGGAGGTCTCATGGGTGCGGAGAGAGGATTTTTAGCCTATTTTTCTGCTCAAAACAGGAGGGATTGAAGCCGCTTCGCGACAAGCAGAAACAGCACGAGAAGGCGTCAAAACCGCCCGCCAACGACCGAGTATTTTGTTAGCCCGGGGGCCGCTCGAGCCCCGCGTTTCTCCCCCCTGGGGCAGGGCAGCGCGGCGCGGCGTTCCTCCCCCCCACGCGGGCTGCGGGAACAGACGAACTTGGAAAAAAATGGATTTTTCTCTAAAAGGAGAAAAACGTGGGAAAGAACCGGCGGGTTTCCCCTCACGGGTGGGAAGGGGCTGGCAGAGGGGGGTCCTGGCCCCGCCAAAAAGCCCCCCGGGGCCGCCCCCGCACACGCAGGGGGGTCCCTGCCGCGCCCCACGGGCCGGGCGCGGACACGCGTGGGCCGGTACCTTTGGCCTGGCAGTCGGCGCAGTACTTGTTCTCGTCCTCGCCCAGCAGGCTGCCCAGCACGGCCTGGTAGCGCTCCACGTCGCGCACCGACTTGCCCGTCATGGCCCGGCCGCGCTCGCGCATGGACGCCCCGGCACTGCCCGGCACGGCACGGCACAGG